GAGAGCTGTTCAGAGAGTCGATCCAGCTCAATTTTATTGGGGGCTGCAGTATACTTATATGTGAGCAAGTGAACAGGAAGACAGGATAGGATGGGCTTGCAGACAAGGGATATGTGGACTGGATAGGAGAACCTCAACCCTGTGCGGACTACTCAGAGCTCAACAGATGCGGCAGCCATCTTCCCAGGTCGTGAGCTTTCTCAACTGGCAGGGCCAAACACAGGAGCGCTTTCTCTACTCCATATTAAAGGCCACTGGGGGGTTTGCCCTTATCTGGAGCTAGGCCATCTGTCCTGGTCAGAGGCCCTCCCTTCCTCCTCAACATTCTCCAAAAGCTTTTGGTATTAATTACATCTTAAAATCAAGAAAACAAGTGTCTTCACCACAGGACTAACAGTCAACATTGTGACAGATGGAAGAAAGATTAAACCTTTTAAAAAAAATATTAAAGCAAGAATTTTATCTTGCTTAAATCTATAAGATGTAGGCTACTTGAGCTTCTATCTATACCAAAGTATAACCCATATAGAGGGCTATTGTCTTTGAACTTCACAGGCTCCCATGGTTGTTGTTAGGTGCTGTCGAGTCAAGTATGACTCATAGTGACCCTATGAACAACAGATCTGAACCCTGTCCTACCCTGTGCCGTCCTCACCCTTCTTGACACAGTAAAGCCCATCAAGACAGTCACTGTCAATACATCTAGTTGATGTTCTTCCTCTCCTTAGCTGATCCTCCACCTGTCTGAGCATCACGTTCCCTCCAAAGATCAGCCCCTCCTAACAACATGTCCGAATTTTGTGAGGTGAAGCCTCATCATCCTTGTCTCCAAAGAGCACGCTGGCTGCACCCTCTCCAAGACATATTTGTTTGCTGACAGTCCATGGAATGTTCAGTGCTCTTCTCCACCGTGACAGCTCAAAGGCAAAAATTCATCTTCAGTCATCCTCATTCATTGTCCTGCTCCCAGATGCATAGCAATTGATCAGAAAGACGATTGGCTGAATCAGATGTACCTTAGTCCTCAAATTGACATCATTACTCCTCAATAATTTGGAGAGGGCCCTAACTGCAGACTTTCCAAGGGAAATATGTCTCCTGATTTCCTGACTGCGGGCACCAAGGGTATTAATTGTTGACCAAATTAACACGAAGTTGTTGATGGTTTCAATCTTTTCCCCATCCATCATGATGCTGCCTTATGGCCCAGTGGTAAGAATCATTGTTTTCTTGATATAGAGATGCAATCCCTATCAAGGACTGTAGTCTTTGATCTACAAAATGTGCTTCAAATTCTCCTCACTTTCAGCAAGCAAGGTTGTATCATCTGCATACCACAGGTTATTGATAAGTCTCCCTCTGATTCTGATGCCACATTCCTCTTCATATAGTCAGCTTCTCGAATAAGTTGCTCAGCATACAGGTTGAATAAATAAATAGAGAAAATACAACGCTGACATGTTCCCTTCTTAATTTTGAACCATGTAGATTTCTCTTGCTCGGTTCACACAACTGCCTCCTGCTCTGGGTACAGGTTTTGCATGAGCACAATTAAGTGCTCTGGGATTCCCGTTCTTCTCAATGTTAGCCATAACTTGTCATAATCCACACAAATATCTTTGTATAGTTAATTTAACATAAATAGACATTATTTTGGTATTCTTTACTTTCAGCTAGGATCCATCTGACATCAGTAAATATCTGTGGCCTCTTCTAAATCCTACTCGAACTTCTAGCCATTCCCTATTTATGTACTCTTCTAGCTGTTTTTCAAATCTATTCCACAGGATTTTGCTTGCACGTGATATTAATGATATGATTCAATAGTTTGCACATTACTCTGTTGGATCACTTTCCTTGAAAATGGGAACAAATGTGGGCTCCTTCCAATCCATAGGCTATAAACGTGTCCTCCAAATTTCCTGGCATAGACTGCCGAGTGCACCCAGGTTTGCATCTGTTAATGGAAACAAGTCTGTTGGTATTCCATTGATTCCTGAGCCTTATTTTTTTCTGGTGCTGTCAATGCAGCTTCCACTTCCTCCTTCATTACTATTGGTTCTTGCTCATATGGTACTTCCTGACACTTTTCCGTTTGAGTCCATTCTTTCTGGTACAGTGACTCCGTGTGTTCCCTCCATCTTCTTGTGATGTTGTGTGGGTCATTTGTTATATTGTCCATAGCATCTTCCAATATTGTGACTCAGCTTGAATTTGTTGTTCAGTTTCCTCAGACTGAGAAATGCAGAGAGAGTTCTTCCCTTCTTATTCTCCAATTCCAGCTCTCTGCACATTCCGTTATAGTACTTTGCTTTCTCTTCTCAAGGTGCCCTTTGAAATCTCCTGTTCAGCGTTTTTTACTTCAGCATATTTTCCCTTTGATTTGGCTTTTTGACACTCTAGTGCAATTTTTAGAATCTCAGCTGACATTCATGATGGCTTTTTCTTCTCTTTCTTCGTAATCACCTTTTGCTTTCATCATGGACTCCTGCTCTTCAATCATTAGTGTTGAATCCTTTATACGTTTTCTTAAGAAGATCTTGAAATTCAGATGGAATAGATTCAAGATCATACCTTGGGTTTTGTGAAGTTATTTCATTTTCTTCAGCCTCAATTTGAACTTGCACATTAGCAACTGATAGTCTGACCAGCTCCGTTAGCATCTCTAAAAATACACCCTGACCCAGACCCTCCACCTGCCCTGCAAAGAGCCTCTGGAAGATGAAACCGATTGCTTTCTAGTCAACTCAAGACTCCTGGTGCCCTGAGTGGAAGAGTAGACTATGTTCTAAAGGGCTTTGTTTTTGTTGTTGGGTTGTTGTGTGTGGTTTTTTTAAATTTTACAATGGTTTACCTACAAAGTTTGTATACATTGGCCCTCACATCAGATACCGCCCACTTCCTCAACTGACTCCCTCCACCCATTACGCCGTGTGACCCCGTGATTACCCCTGCCCATTTCCACCGCTCAGGTCCTCTGTGACCCCTTAGATCCTCATACATGTGTTACCACTCAACTATTTCTACAATAATGGTTTTATACAGTATTTGTCCTTATAAGATTGAGTGAGTTTGCTTAGCATAATGCTGTCCAGACCCTCCCAAATTAAGGAGTGTGTTCTACCGGGTTTTAGAGGCAGACAGCCGCACCATTCTTCTGAGACACCTTTCTGAGTGGATTTGAACTACCAACCTGTCAGTCAGTAGCTGTGCACTTAACCATTCGCACCACCCAGGGACACCAAGTTCCTGAGACTGCAAATAGCCAAACCCCTTGATTTTCAGTCCTTTTCTGATGTCCTCCTCACACTCTGTAGGTCCCAGCCAGGTGAAAATTCTTCCTCCTTCCCCTAGTCCCCATAATTATTCACCCTGAGTCCTTCCAGAACCCTGAGTGCTCCAAATGGTTAACACATTCAGCTGATCACTAGAAGGTTGGAGGTTCTGGTCCAATCAGGGGCACCTCAGATGAAAGACCTGGTGATCTACTTCTGAAAGATGAACCACTGAAAATCCCAAGGGTGAGTCAGCACAGGACTGAGTCCAGGTCCACCCCTGGCGGGGGAGGAGTTACATGTTCTATGTAGCTCGCCAGCTCCCCGTTCAGGCGGGTATGGGACTATTACCATCTTCCTGGGGCATTCCTGGTGCCTGGTAAGAACACTGTCGGGGAACTTCCTGTTCTTGATAAAAGGAAATTACCTCTAACTTTGAATTCAGGGTCAGCCATGCATTCTCACATGTGTGACCCGAGGCACGACTTTGGCCCCTCTGAGCCCAACTTTCCCATCAAGATAATGAGGATGATAATGGAGTTAAGGAGAAGTTCAGAGTCAGAGCATTAGTAGTCTGCCAATACCACTGAGTCTGGAAGGAGTCTTTTGTTAAGCTGCTCCGGGCCTCAGTTTCCTTACATGCTAGGTGAAACGATGATGTTGATGTTGGGTGCCATCAAGTCGACTGTGACTTGTAAAGACCTTATCAAAAGATCCGAATCTTTCCTTAGTCTGCTGGTTTTTAAATTTTATCTCTACGTGCGGTCTCGGGCGCCCCCCAATGGTCAGTCTTGTGAATAGCCATGATTCAGTCCAGTGCGTGACAGGCCAGGAGCCACACCACCAGGGGTCAGGCTGTGAGGGGTCCCCTTCCATGGTTTGGGAAAAGCACAGGTGCATGTTACCCCAGGAGTTTGCCTTCGCACCCCTATTCTGAAGCTCGGGAAGCTGTACTTACTTGGTGGTGGTGGGTGCGGTTGAACTGATTCCCTAATGCTGGAGGACAGAGTGGCGCTGACCACAGGGTTTCCTGGACGCCGACTTTACTGCCTCACTTTCACCCGCAGAGCAATTAGAGGGTTTGAACAGCTGACCTTTCAGTTAGTCTCTGAGTGCTTTAAATACTGTGCCACCAAAACACGAGAACACCTCTGGCCTATTTGCCAGACCCCATGTGGACACTTACTCCTTTCCCAACTGGTCCAGGACTTGCAGCGCTGTGTCTTCCTTTAGACCTGGGTGTCCCTTTTAGTGGTGCTAGGCTATTAAGCAAAAGATTGAAGGTTCAGTTAAGGCTCTCGATATAGAAATGACCCTGGATTACCTGTGTGGGTCCTGATAAGGGAAAAGAAGGAGACAGAGGAAAAAAAAAGTCTGAAAGTTAAAGTCCATCCTGTGACACCTCAGAAGAAAGGCCTGGCAATCTCCTTCCCTAAATCCAGCTATTAAAGGCCCTCTGAGCTCCACTGTCCTCTGACACACTTGGTGTCCCCTGCTGCCTCTGTGTTTGGTCTGGTGCAGCCACAAGGCTCCCCAGGGCCCCAGGGTTTGAGGCTGGGATTAGCTGTGGGAAGATTGCCAGACTTTGTCCATTGGATGGAGAAGAAAGATCCCAAACCTCCCATGCTGCCGCCTGCCGCTGGACTTCCCTGGACCTTCTGAGCCTCAGTTTCCATGCTCACCCTCAACCCCGCTCCATGGCCTGACATTTGTCCCTCACTCCAGGTTTGTGGCGCTGCCCCTGAGCCGGTGGCTGGGCGTGCAGGACCGAATCCGGAAGCCAGTGGCACCCAACCCCACACTGGAGAAATACTTCCTCACACAGAGCCGGAGACCCAAGGAGGTGAGTGTTGCCCGGCTGTCCAGTAACCTCAGAGCCCCTACCCTCCAGTCCACATGGGCCCCCTTCAGAGGGCCCAGGAGTGGGCAGGTTTCTCCCCTGTGCGGGACAGGAGTGGATACATCCTCTTCCCATTCTCACCCATGGGAGTAAGTGCCACCCTAGGTGGGGGCTTGGCTGGGTCCTGAGTGGGTGGGAGAAGGTCTGTGTACCTGGGGGTGGGAATGGGGCTGGAGTCAAGGAGAGTCTGTGGTTCCTTCTCAGCCTTCAGGGGGTGGGAGGACCCTGACTTTCCAGATGGCATGCAGGAATGTACCTGTGGGGTCCTTTATCCAGCCCCTCACCCAGGCCCCTGAAGGGCAGAGCTCTATGTAGGTGGGAGAGGAGGGCAGGATGAGGCTCCTTCCCAGGACCCCCCGGAACCTCCATCCTCAGAGACGGAAGGTCCTGCCTGTCCTGGGAGCACAAACCATCATGGGGCCCCAGGACACTGCTGTCACCCCTCCCTCTGCAGTCCCAGCTTGCCCTCCTGGCCACCCAGTGTGGCCTCAACCTGAGACAGACCCAGCGGTGGTTCAGGCGACGCTGGAACCAGGAACAGCCTCAGCTCAGCAAGAAGTTCTGTGAGGCCAGGTGAGGGTGGGGCTGGGACTCAGGGGCAGGTCTGGGGGTGCTGGGGTGCGCCAGCACCCTCACTTCCTCATGGGCTCCCTCTCCTGCAGCTGGAGATTCTTGTTCTATCTGTGTGCCTTCGTGGGTGGCCTCTCGGTCCTGTACCACGTGAGTGTGTCCCCTGTCCCCCTACCTGCCTCACCTGATAGGCCCTTGCCAAGGACTGGCTAGTCACGGGGTCCCTGCAGATATGAGTTCCTCACCTAGAGTGGAGGAGAGTCAGGTGGTGTAGCCTAAGTGTAATGATGACCTAGGGGCACCCAGTGGGGGCTGGGACCCTCAAACTCACCAGCCGACCCCACCCCTCTCCACAGGAGTCGTGGCTGTGGGAGCCAAGGATGTGTTGGGAAAATTACCCAAAACAGGTGAGCTGCAGAGGAGGCCTGTAGGAGCCAAAAGTCAGAGACGCAGTGGGAGAGGGTGGTCAGAAGGGGGCGCCAAGCAGGGGCATCGCCCCACAACCCTCCCTGGCCTTGAACTTGACCTTCCAAGACTTCTCTTGGAACAGAGTCTGGAAACTAGGCCCAGGAGCTGCCATAAGAACCACTGCTCTTGATTACCTCCAGGGATGAGGCACTCACTTCTTGCTCATCCAACAGGATCTGACAGCATAGGGTGGGGCAAGCCGGGGTGTGTGTGTGTGCAAGGCCCCTCCCCACAGCTAACCTTTTCCGCCCAGCCCCTGAAGCCCGCCCTGTACTGGTGGTACCTCCTCGAGCTGAGTTTCTACATCTCCCTGCTGCTGATGCTGCCCTTCGATGTCAAACGCAAGGTGAGACCAGAGTGAGGGCAGGGCTGGGGGAGTGACCAGGAGCTGGAGGGGAGAGGGCTGAATTCACAAGTCCCCCTCCCAGCCCCCAGACACGCCTAAACCCCATACCTGAGGGTCCTAGTAGTCCAGAGACACCAGCCCCCATGAGTGTTTGCCCTGCGCCCCTTGGGATGGGACTCCTCCACTCACTGAGGCCTGTCCCCGCGTCTCCTGCAGGACTTCAAGGAGCAGGTGGCCCACCACTTCGTGACCATCACCCTGGTCACCTTCTCCTACAGCTCCAACCTGCTCCGCATTGGCTCCCTGGTGCTGCTCCTGCATGACGCCTCTGACTATCTGCTGGAGGTGAGGCGCCCACCCTCCCTGTCTGCCCTACCCACACCCATTATCCGATCTCCTCCAAGTGAGCCCTGAGTCAAAGCCCCACCCCCTTGGCCATTCCAGGAGGCCAGGCCCCGCCCCTTCGGCTATCCTAGGAGGTAATTCAGCCACCCTCCTCTCCTGGTCACTTTCCACTTTCCAGGTCCCCTTTACTTACTGGATTTCACCCCTCATCACCTTCTCCTGTGGAATGGCCTGTCCTGTCTCGCCTAGCCACCCCCACTCCCTGCATCTCAGGCCTGAGCCCCCCACCCTCACCCCCACATGTGCTCCGCAGGTCTGTAAGATGTTAAACTACATGCGCTGGAGGCTTACTTGTGACACACTCTTCTTCATCTTCTCTGGTGTCTTCCTCTACACACGCCTTGTGCTGTTCCCCACGAAGTGAGTGTGCTTCCTCAGCCCGGGAGAGGGGGTGGTTGAGGCCCCAGGACGCCTCCCCAATTCCAGAAACAGGTGGCTGAAGAAGGAGGCGTGAAGAAGGAGGCCTGCAGAGTGTGCCTGGCACCACTCACACAGCCCACAGCACAGCTCTTAAAAAGGCAGACAAAAGGGAAGGAGGGGCGGGGCGCCAGCGCCCTGGTGTCACAGCTCAAGCCAGGCTCATCCGATATGCCTGCGACCACACAGAGAAGATAGTGTGCAGGGCGCGCAGAGGCCCTGCCCGTGTGCAGTTCACATAGGTCAACCAAGCACACTATCGAGTGTCTCCTGCAAGTACTAATGAGAAAACTAAGGCAGTGAGGGGCACAGGGGTCAGGGAAGGAAGGCTTAAGGGACAGCATTTGTCCAGACACCTAAGGGAGGTGAGCGCGAAAACTACTGATCACCGGGGAAGCGTGCTCAGCAGAAGGACTGAGCCTGCTGAGTTGGAGGAATAGGTCCCTGTGCCTGCAGGTGAGTTCAGGAAAAGGACCAGAGGGTCACGGTGGACCTCTTAGCAGAGGGAGGTGGGAACACTGGCAGCTGTGAGAGGAGAAAGCTGGCTCTGGTTCCTGCTCAGGGCCGCCCTCTGGTGGGTGGAGGCAGAGTGTGCAAACCAGCGCAGAAATCTCTTGTGGGGTGGGAGGTTCGTGCAGGACCCATGGACGAGAAACGTGAGAGGACTCAGGGGAGCAACCCAAGGTTTAAGGAAATGGAGCAGCCATGTACTGACGTGCTTGTGAGCACAGGAGGAGGGGGGAGCTCAGCTCTGTGTCTGTTGGGATTGACCCCACAGGGGTCAAGGCAGGAGCTGGGGTTAGAGAAATGATGTAAACACCAGAGCCTTGAGGACTGGATGAGGATGGAAGGGCCTGTCCTGGGGCTCTCAGAGTACACAGGGAGGGAAAAGACATGGCTCAGAACACACCTGGGATTAGTGTCAGGAGGGAGGAGGGGGGCCCCTAAATGTGGGGAGTAGAGCCTATTGACAGGAGAGAGGCTGGGAGGCTGTGTCAAGACAGTGAGTGCAGACAGCCCACTCCGGGGTGTTTGGGGGTCAAAGAAAAGTATGAACAGGGGCAGTATCTGGAGGGGAGATGGACTTAACTGAGAACCTTCTAGAAGGAGAAATCCATGCACAGTATCTCAGCAGCGTGGCCTTGGGGAGAGGTGAGCAGGCAGGTGTGTACGGGGTCCTGAGTGGGCACCAGGTCACACATGGGGACCTCAGGAGAGAACGAGCTGGGATTCTGGGGGGCGTCCCAAGTACAGGCAGAGTTGCAGCGCAGTCTAGGTTGTGCTGTGAGGTGCACTGAGGCCACCAGTGACCCCATGAGAAAGGCAGGGGCACAGTTCACAGGCACTGGAGGGATTTGTAGAGAAGAGGAAGAGGGTAGGGACATAGGGAAAGGAGGGTCCAGAGAGGGCTCTTCTTTGGGTTTTCTCGGGGCTGGTGAGGATGACGATGTTCCACAGGGTGCAGTCACCGGCTGCAGTGAGGTCATCCGGGGCACCAGGGAGAAGGTGGGGCTG